ATAATCTCATAAATGAAGTTTGAAAAGCCTAACTTCAAGGTAGTAAATAAGTTTTTAGAAAAAAATATGACTAAGCTTGCTGAAGGATTAACCAAACAGGTTAATAGATTTCAAATTTTTCAAAATCTTTTCTCAAAAAGCTTAACTTTAAAAGATTGAAGGGAATAACAAATTTTTGAACTTGATGAAAAAGAATACTCTTTTGAAGAAATAAACAATCTTTTAAATGTTTGCGATTTTCTTATAGAAGAACAAATAATTTTTTCTTCTTATTTAAAATTTCAAAAAATTCTTTTATATGAAAAGGCTAATAAAGTCTTACTCAATTAGCTTTTAAATAGAATTAAATATTCAATAAAATATGAAGTAGATCATCTACTTCATAAAAAATTTCAAGAATATTTTTTTTTATTTATCTAAAAAATCATAAAATTTCAGGAGGATTTTTTAATATTAAATTTCGATTAGATCATGACTCTTATGATATAATCAATATCGAAATGGGTTTTGTAGGTATAATTACTTTCCATAATTTATCTTTCACTAGATAAGGCATTTTTCTACATTTATCAAATCAAATTTTTTTTTGTCAAAAATAATGAATATTTTTCTTATGTATATATTAAAATAACTAGTTTAATGAGACTCTTTCAAAGAAATTTTTTTTTTCAACATTATCAAATCTGAAAAGTAAAAAAAGTTCTTTATAGACCAGATTTATTGACACCAAATAAAAATGAAGAACATTTAAAATTTGCCTTTTCACAATTTAATAGAGCAAGTTTATATGGCTTTCAAGTTGGACTTACTATGATGGAAAAAGCAAAAGAATTATTAAATGAAATTCCACCAAATTCATAAGTTTCATATATCATTGCTAAAACAGATGTTAAAAGGATTTTTGTGAAAGAAATTTATGATGGAAACAATGCAAAACCAAAGCTTCATGTGGTTGAACTTCTAGAAAAACTTATTAGGATGAAAGACCTGGATTACCCACTTTATTTACTATATTGGTATCAAGAAAGATGGGAACAATGGAACAAATTAAAGGCAATTTCACCAACTTCTTTTAATCCACATTATGAAGCAATTATAAATTTGGTGAATATTTAGAATGGATAAGAAGACAAAAGGTCAACATTTGTTATTGATAGACTATATATGGATAAGAAGAAAAAAAGTTAACATTTGCTACTAGACTGCCAAACAACCAACCTGTCACCCAACCAGATAATCTGCCAAAAGTAGATAATAGTAGATAAATATATCTTCTATAATAAATATCTACTGTAATAAATATCTAACTTTATGCCTAATTCCATAATTAGATAAGGACAAAATTTGTTAAGTTTAAATATTGAATACTATAATTGTAAGGAGGCATTCGATACCTTATTGATCTCTCACCCTTTGTTCTGTATTATTCCTCTTTTTTTTGTAATTAGTATCAGAGCTTCGTTTTTGTATATATTTTAGGGTGGATTTGGATTCCATCGACATGTTTTTTTGCCCAAACATGTTGGGATGTATCATTTGGATGATAGAACTTCAATACAGTTGAGGGCTTTCCAATGCACTGGACGCAAAAGCTGGATTGGATCTGTAAAGGTCTAGTGATAAATTTTTAATCCCATTAAAGTAGTTATTTCCAAAAATAACCATACTCTTCCATTTTTTTTTTCTTTTTACCTTTGAAACTATAATACAAAGTCAAAAACACCTTTATCACTTAACTTTTTTTTTCATTTAAAAAATTTTAAATAACTTTATTAATTTAATATAAATAAATAAGATTTTATAATTATATAATAAACTAATTAATAACTAAATAAATTTCTATAGTATTCATTTTAATTACTTTTTATTTTTTACACATAAATTTATTATTTAATATAAAAAATATTTTTATATTTTTAACAATTATTAATATAAAAATATCAAATAAATATTATAAATTTATTATATACAGGTTTTAATTTAATGTCCTTAATGGTCATTTTTTCTTTTCACTACAATTCACCCCACTACCACAATTGCTTTTACATCCAGACATATATCTCACCACTGATTTTAATCTCACCGCTATAGTATTCAATCTCACTACTACAACAACTAATCTCACTTTTACCACTATTTTTAATCTCACTGAAGCCAATCTTATCCCCAATCCAAATGGACCCTTAATCTATAAAAATCAGAGTTAATATACACACACACACACACACTAGTTGAGGTCTTGAATTTACAAGCTATCCTTGTAAGTATTTCTTTATTTTCTCAACTTTTAATTTTTAGCTTTATATTTTAAAACCCATATATATCTATGTGCTAGTGTTGTGGCTTTGTTGTTGCTTTTTAATCTAGTTTTAAGTATTAGGAACATGAAACAAGAAGTTGAAAATTACGTTTGTTAAAAAAAAACTTTATAATCATAGTTTGCATATGGATTCTCAATTAAAAAATTATATACCGACAATTAGTTATAGTATTAATGGTTTAGTTGAATTGTTTAATAAAATTGATATACTAAAATAAAAAATAGATAACTTAAGACAAATTACTAATTTAGATTTAAAACAAGATTCTAAACAATTATTAGTACATCTTTTATTAAGAATAAAATAGCCATCAAATGGTTACTAAAATTCGATAGTTTGTGGACAATGGGAATCGTTATATGTTTAATAGACACCAAATACTACTAACAATCAAATTGTCAATCTATTTCCAATTTTGGGCAAAAGGCTTCAATTTTACAAACCAAATCTTTTCAATAGCTATAGCTATAGTCTATGGAGTATTATGGAAGCATAGCAATTTATGCCTTTACTTGGAAATTAAATGCTTTATCACGTGCCAAACACACATCTCACATGCAATTGAGTTCACTTATTTATTTTTATTTTGTTTTTTTTTTTAATCCAGTTCAAATACTATATAGATTTATTTATGTAGATTTATAGATATTAAAATGAAGGGTATCCGCCAAAACCAACAGTGGAAAAGGAAAAGCTGCCACGCAACTTGTTACTCTTCACCCAAAGGAAGCCCATTGGCTTTCGCCATTACTGTTGGCCAGATTTTGCTTTCAAGAGGTTGACACATAAGGATCCAACATTGATCGGACACAGTTTAATTCACTTAAAATTATGACATCTCTCATTTTCATCCTCCCTTACTTTCTATTATCTACGTACACAGTTCTACGTACACAGTTTATTTATACAGTATATAAAAAAAATTGCTTAATCTCTCAAGTTAAAGACAAAAATTATAATAGTTCATAAATGAACTTCAACAAGAAGCCACTATAAGACTCAAATCTGAGGCCATCCACTTTCAAATTGAACAAATTTATTAAACCAATTAATGCTTTCTTGGTATAATAAATATCCTATTATGATTTTCATTTACACTTAGTAATTTGTGTGTATATATATATATATATGTATCATTTTCATATTAAATATATAAAAAATATAAAAATTATCATATTATAATTTATATCAATACGTTAAATATGATATATATTTTTAAATTTTTATAAAATTTATACATAATTTTTGTTAAAATTTTAATTATATCATTTTTTTATTATTTCATATTATATTATTATATCGTATTTAAAATTTTCATATTCATAAATTAAAATCAATCATGTAAATTAGATTGAAGAACATCATACTCACGAAGAAAGATGAAGCACTTAAGAAACCCATATATTTATCATGGTACTTAGAAAATGGTGGGCACTTGCAAGTGACAAGTGCATCCTGAAGTTGAGAAATTTTTTTCAGTTGGAGCAAATAGAAATTAAGAATGCTTGATTGCATTGGATATTTGATCAAAGCTTCACATCTTTTTAACCACCAGAGGCAAAAAGCTTTCGATATACCATTTTCTGTCTAAATGCACTTAGCAGCAATGTTGACAGTAGTTGTACGAGTCATGACTGCGTGGTGGTCGAGATAACCCCTCCCCCCCCCAAAAAAAAAAGAAAAAAAAATTTAATGATTATAAAATATATATATATATATATATATATATGAAACAATTATACCATGGGCCAAGGCCATATTCTGTCATCCAAATAATTGATGAATCCTATGCTAAATTATTCTGATTATAAAAAAAAAAAAAAAAGAAAACCCAACTATACTAGCTTTCTTTTTTTAAAATGCTTACTCTCTATGATCATTTTTTTTTATTAAAAAAATTTTTGAGTGATCAATTAAATTTAAAAAATAAATGTAAAAGTTCAAGAAGATTTCATTGCGGTTGACCATATTTAGAGTCAATTTTATTTGATGGAGAATTTAATTTTTTATTTTAATGAAAAAGGAAATAGATATTAAATTGAAGAGGTGAATAAATATAATTTTAAATTTTTTTATTGAGTACAAGTATTGAAATGAGTAATATAACATCTATTTTATAATCATATCTTATATATTGATATATTTAATAGATTCTTTTTATTTAATAATATAAACATTATTTCAAATTAATTATAATTAATATATTTATAAAATTATATAAATATGCAAGATAAAATAAAAAAGAGCTCAAAATCATTTTTATTTTTTATTTTTTATTTTTTTTTTAAATTACAAATAAAAAATTACTTATACCTATTAAATATCTAGAAAAATAAAAATAAAAATAAATTTCAAATATCTATTAAATATTGATACAGAAATAAGTAAAATATAAAAAACCAAAGATAGAATGAGAAATGCTTAATCTTTCTCATTCCCGATTAACATCTTTAATTATATCTTAACACTTTAATCAGTGGGTCAAAAGGTTATTCATGGGCCCATTCTTTATTGGATGTATCTCCTAAACATGGGGCCCAGCCCGGCAGCAGAATCACGGTAGCCTAAACTGCCACGTTGTCCTCTCGAGATACATCTCTTTTTTAAACCTTAAAATTTTGTTGTATTTAAATACTAGCCCATTCCTCATTATCCACAATACCCATTTGGCAAGTTGAAAAAAAAAAAAAAAGTCTCATAAATTATAATGGATGATTTCACATCAGGCTTGCAAAGTTTTAAACAATCATTTTCTTTCTTGGATATTGATCCTACCATGGAATCAGTTAACCAGTTTGCTAAGCGAAATTCAAGTGTCATTGACAATTCAGTCTTGAATTACCAAAGCTTGCCTTTCTCAAATGACAACTTCTTCAGCAATCAAGCATCGTCAATTCCAGGCAACTGGGGAGAAAACTTGCCAGGTTTTGTCCATCATAGCAACCACAGTTCAGTGTCAGTTGCTCAGCCCATTGTCACAGCTAAAACTGAATTCCAGGAAAGCAAGAAGAGAAAAGCATTGGGTGTATCAGAAAGTAGTTCTGGGAACTCATCATCTCCTCAGGTTTCTGAAAGTGAAATCAAGGGAAGAAGTGTAAGTATATGTTATGTTCGAAGCATTTTTTCCTTTCCAACTATTTCTTTCTGGTTTTTCTTTAATTTGTTTTTGGTTTTAAATGTTAATTAGTCTTGTTGATATGTAAGAGTTTTTAAGATTTTCAATTTTGTTTAAATTGGTTTGATTGTTATGCAGAATTCAGGAAGAGGGAAAAGAGCAAAATGTAATAAGAAGGAAAAGGAGAAACCAAAAGAAGTGGTTCATGTCAGAGCTAGAAGAGGTCAAGCTACTGATAGTCACAGTTTGGCAGAAAGGGTACATATACACTTATAACTAAATTCCTATCTCATGAAATTAGATTTCGTTCATTGTTTGTTTTTTAATATGCATATTTTATTGATTTAGCTATGCCAACCTATTGAAATGATGCACGAATTTTCTGTCAATCAGGTTAGAAGAGGGAAAATAAATGAGAGACTAAGATGCTTGCAAGATATTGTTCCGGGGTGCTACAAGGTAATTAAATGCTTTCTTTTCTTCAAGGAGGAGTTATTCCTCAACTCTGCTCCCTCAATTACATCATGTAATGCATTAATGAAAGTAGCAAAAAAAACCAAGTTTTCACTTGCATTTTCAAATGTGTTTAATAATCTGCAGACCATGGGCATGGCAGTAACGTTAGATGAAATAATCAACTATGTACAGTCCTTGCAGAATCAGGTTGAGGTGAGTTGAAAGAAAAATTATTCATTCACCTTTTCCATTTGTGATCAATGATTCAATAGAAAATACAATATAAATCTGTATGAATGTATGCATGTTTGTATGTGTATACATATACATACATGTATATATATCATTGTATGTATGTATCATTGTAATTGTACGTATGCATGTTTGCAAAGTCGTAAAACATTCACTGATGGAAATGTTACAGTTTCTTTCAATGAAGCTGACGGCAGCAAGCACATATTGTGACTTCAACTCAGAGTCAGATGCCATGGAAAAAATGCAGGTGCTTTCCAAGCTAGAGAGTATTTTTAATAAAGCTCATAATCTTTCATTCCCTTATGTAAATGTAAATTTAATCTCACTAAGTTTTTGGTTTGATCAATCACATTTAGAGGGAAAAAGCAGAGGAGACAAAAGAGTTGGAAAGATTGATGAGACAAGGATATGTTGGAGGGCTAACTTGCTTCCACTCATCATCATCAACATGGCCCTCTTTGACTTGAGTTCTAGATGGTTGCACCTAAATGCCTTACAACGCATGATAAAGATGCTCTATTTTTCAACACTTTTCATGTTTATAAAGTATCAGAAATGTACCCCACTACTTCATGCTGTACCAAGCAATAGTGAAACTTTATACTTGCAGTCACAAAGCATCAATGGAATTCTATTCAATATTACATTTTTTTCTTCTGCGAATTTCTTCATGTGTCTTTGGTCAATTTCCTATGGTTTAAGCTCACAAAGATCAAAACATGACTGCTAAATCCGGCAATTTTTCTCAGTGGAGCAATATCATGCAAAACTTAATTATACATTAGTTGATGTGATTAGACTTGACTGCTGTGCAATTAGAGTAAGGATGATCAAAATGACAGCATAAGAGCCAAAAAACATTTGGACTCTGAGACGGTAATCTTAATCAATTCCTTTCTGAGCAGACTTAACTTGCATTAAAACATTAGTTTGATGACAAAATTAGGAAAAATCCATTGTTCATGATTAAGAAATAATGCGAAAAAACCTGACCAACGAACAAATTGAACCAGGCATGAGTTTTCATGCATCCCATATTAATTTTGAATTTTAAATCCCAATACCTACGTCATCTTTCCCTATCCCAAGACTAAGGCCTCTTTTGTAATATATATATATATATATATATATATATATATATATATCAAGCTTTTACAAAATATAAAACTTGAGGCGCTGTAGTTCTACCTTCATATCCATCGGAATAAACTGAAAGAATTACTTTAGCCTTCATACAAATCCCCAACCCTTTTCTTTATTTGTTATTGTTTCTAAATGGATACATATAGTAAATATTGACACCAAGGATAAAGTACTATTTTAATCTTCAGATTTTATAGCCCCACACTGTCATTTAAAAAGCTTGAGTAGAGACATATAACCTTGACCTTTTTAGAAGAAACAACAGAAAGAAGCATCACATGTTGTTTGCCTTAACTTTTGATAATGGAATTTCATCTCAACTTTTTCATCAACCATACACTACTTCTGAAGTCTTTTGATTTGAACCCAAAGTACAATCATTTAAATGTAAATATTTAAAGTTTTTATGTATCATATCTACCATAGGCAAAGAACCCGTTGGTTAACATTGTGGATCAGCTAGCAAAAGCTAGATAGATCCATGACATTTAGACCAAAAACACAACAAATAATCTGGAACAAGTTGTTCTAAAAATCTTACTTGTCGATAAAAATTTCAAAAATTGCTAATCCTTTTTGGCAACAACATTTTAGAGGGGTGTCCCATGAAAACAGTAAGGTTTTGATGCAAATACGCGTTGCAATTAGAAAGGCAACGAATTCTTGTAGTTACAAGGCCAATGGAAGCCATGGCCAATTTGTCGAATACACATGGAAAAAACTGAATGGATGCCACAAAATATAGAAGGATGCATAAAATCTAATGGATTTTGGCAATTCATAAGTGAATGATTGGAGGAGGGAAGTTGATAGGGGGGAAACAATTTTTAGTTATTAATTTCTAGTTCTATTTTGTTTTATAGTGGAAAAAGAGAGAGAGAGAGAGAGAGAGAGAGAGAGAGAGGGAGGGGCAGATGCAGTGCATACAAGAAATTGGGGGATGCATGAGGAAGACAGCTTGAAATGGACCATGCCATGCCCACAATAGGATGGGCAATGTGGGTTCTCCAACGTCTCTAAATGATAAGAGCTTATGAACCTTTTAAAGTCACTTTTGTTACTCTTTCCCAATCAAAATCTTTCTTCTTTGACTCCCCTTTGACCAAGTCTTTTGCTTGTCTCTTAGAGCATGCATGAACTAGGAGGTAGGGAAGGGCCTCAAATTGGAGGGTCCCATGGTAACGAAAAGGATAGATTTCCATGTATTCCAAATTTGGATTTGGGGTCACACATTAGGTGAAGTTGGGGAGATGAGGAGGGGTAACTAATGGGGGCAAGTTCAAGGATCCAAGTACAGTGGGCTTAATATCAAGCCTTAGGAAGTGGAGGAGGTGGATGAGGTTGTTAGGTAGTCAGGCTTCTTACTAATCCCCACTACCATATAGAAAAATGGCATTAAATCTTCTTGCATGCTTCCATATCTTTGTTCTAAGCATTCGAAAACGAAAGCTCAACCCCAAAAAGTTGATCCCAAAGTAGTTTTCTGTGTCATCTCAACATTGAAACAATTTTAGGGGTAAGGGGGGCTGGGAAGAACATAAAATGATAACCGTATAAACCCTTGTGGCATAAAGGAATTAAAGATCATTGGTCAAAAGAAAAAGGAGGTAAAGATGTGCAAATCCAATTATAAAGTTCCTCAATCATAACAATTATATAAGCCAAGTGATACAAATAAAATTAGGCACCAAAATATTATTTTATATTCTCAATGGTAAGAAGCATGCTATGAAACATTTTGGTTTCATGTATGAGGACCATTAAATATACGGTTTTGGTAACTTTATGTTCATTTTTGCTTTGCCTTGCTTTCTTCGAATGGGTGCAAGATTAATTGTGCTAAATATATATTGAAAATTACTTACTTTGTAAATGAAAGTTATAGTCAATAATCATGTAAACTGTTAATAGAGTGTTGAACTCTTAATTTCAGTAATTAGAATTTAAATCTTGACAATCAAATATTAAAAAAAGTGATACTTATCATGTAATACATTTTTAATTAAAAATATAATTGCTAAAGAACTTTGTAACAACATTGCAGTGTGAAAATGCTGACTTCTAAGTTCTAGCGGAATTAAAGTAAAATCGACATAGATTTTTTAACCAAAGATGTTCCTGAATATACAGTTGAGATTTAAGCGGTGGTAGATAATTATCCTTAATGGGAAGTGAAGGAAATGTGTGTGTAACAAGCACAAGCAATGAAACGCCTTTACGAATTATTGTTATAGTCATAGAGTGTAGTCTCGAATATCCAATCCAACAAGATAGTGAGGTGCCATCTTTTTGACTTATTATGTTAGATCTGTTCTTCCAATGTAGCTTTATGCCCCTTCCTAAGTATTAGACAAAAGAAAGAAACAAAACTTGCATGTGATGAATGACATACATTTACAATGATTTTTTGTTTCTTTGCTGGAATCTACATACATACATATATATATATATATATATATTTACAAGGAAGATTTGTTAACCTTATACCCCTTCCTAAGTATTAGACAAAAGAAAGAAACAAAACTTGAATCTGATGAATGATATATTTACAATGATTTTTTGTTTTTTTGCTGGAATACATACATATCTATTTACAAGGAAGACTTGTTAATAACTAGGATTTTGTCCCCCAACACATGGCAAGCAACTGAGCAATATTTATAATGAAAATTTTTAGATTTTTGTGAAGTTTCTTACTAAAAATAATATAATAAAAACGTTAATAAATTAAAAATTCAAATTGAAAGATTGATACTAGAATTTAATGAAAAAATCAATTTTATATAAAAAAAAATTAAAGAGCTGTTTAAAATTTAAACCCAAATTCAAACTTCCCATCAATTATACAGTTGAAAGGACTTTAAATATTAGTACCATCTTTAAGAACTTATTAAAATGAAGTTGGTTTAATAGCTAAGTTCTATACCTTGCCAAATTTGTGATTCTTAGGGTTGAGAGTTTGGAAAGTATAGGAAAATGAGAGGATATACCCTTTTTTTTTAAAAAAAAATTTTCTTGAACATTGAAAGCTGTGTTGAAGGACCAGAATCCCTATACTTTAATTCTTTGTTACTGTTAAATATGTTGATCTTAACACTTCTAACTTTGTTTTTATATACAACACTTTTAAAGTTTGTTTACACTTGTTTAATATGCATTTTGACTATTTTACTTTTTAAATAACCTACAAACGTTTTCAAAATTAAATGGTTTTTGAGGTAGTAATTAATTTTATTTTATCCATGGATTACACCTACATACTTATTTTTTATTTATTATCAAATATAATTATATGTTAAATATATAATTGCATATATTGTGTATAAATAATTAAAATTTATATATATATATTAATGAAAAGAAACAATTATAATACATGTATATCATAATCAATCATAATTATATAGCTATATGAATAAATTTGAGAAATCATATATATATTATATCAAAATATATATAGTTATCAGATAGAATTTGTTGACGTGGATGTTTACATGTATAACTTCATTTTTTGACATGTAAGAAAATTTTTAAAATTTTTTTATATAATGACACATAAGATATTTACTAATTTCAAATTATTTATCCAAAAAATATATATTTAAAAAATTATTAAATTATCTAAAATTTTTAAAATTTAAATGAAAAACCAATTTAAATTCCAATAATTTTTTTCTCCTTATATCACCTTATCTCAATTTAAAATTAATTTTAAAAGTAATTTATTTTTTTCAATTTATCTGCAGTTAACATAATTATTTAAGTTTATCAAACTTTTAAAAGATTTTATTTAAATAATATTTTAAAGATATTAGTGATAAGATGATAATTATATAGCTTGATTTTGAGCTGGCTATAGTTGCGAAGAGACGCATTTTATGTCTATAGATATTATCGATTACTTTAAAATTACATCTATAGATAATAATTAAAACAAGTGCTAGCATGGTACAGTTTTTAAATATATTATATATAGATAAAATTATTATTTAAATATATTTACGGATTAAAGTTTATCAAAATTTAAATGAAAAATCAATTTAAATTTAAGATAATTAAATAGATAAAATTATTATTTAAATATATTTATAGATTAAATAAATTTATATAGCTTGATTCTTTTCCAACTTCCCATTCAACTTATTTCTCAAATAATATTCCATCTCCTCATAGATTTTAGCATTACCTTTTTATTCCTCTTCCATTTAAGGTATTCCATTGAGGGTGAATTTATTTTTTCTTTTCTATTTGGTTTAGGTAAGCTTTTTTAGTTTAATTTTGACCTTTTTTTTTCATATATTACAATGTACAAAACTATAAAAACACATATATTCTTTTATTTTTATTGGTATTGTTAGCAGACCTTTTATTTTTATGTGGATTCTTCACTCAATTAGGTAATATTTTTTTTGTCTTTCAACTGATTATTTATTTAATATTTTTTTATTTAGGATACACCACCTAATATGCTAAAATAAAATCAAAATAAAAGATCAAGAGATGTTATTGTTTTGTCTTTGGCTCTAATTCCCCATTCGAATAAAATAAAAATGATACTCTAATTAATTGATATAATAAAGTTGTATACCAATTATGAACCACGTGAGGTTAAGGGCTACATTTCCACTCCTTTATCTTCTATCTGCTATTAT